CTTCAAGATACTGCCTGCTTTTCAGTGTGAACTCTAGCTTACATGTCAGACAGAGTCTTTTATACCTTTTTTTTAACTCTCAAGAGAAATCTTGTCCACACAGATAGGCACTGGTGCTCCCACTGTATTCAGCATTTTGCCTTGGGCACAGCAGGCAAATGCCTGGCAGGGTGAGTTACCAGAGAAGGTGCTGGGACATTTCCAAAGTATGAGCTGAATCCCAAGGAATCAGTTCATACAGTCACAAGTTTTGCTGGCTGCTAACAGGTCATTCTTTAAATAGGTTCATCTTTTTAAGCAGTCACATGAAACTGGGCTAAGTATCTTAGGAATGGTTCCACAGCAAAAATAGCAAGACCATATTTTAACATGGCCTTCTTATATTATTACAGATAACAGTGTGTTTTATATATGTGTGTATGTGTATACATAAAACAGTTYGTTACCATGCTTAGAATCTCTCCAGCTTTGTAGAAAATGGACCATGAAGAGCTTCCTCTTAGCTAAATAGACCTTCCTTCACAGAATAAATCCCTCACTCTTACTTTTTTTTTTTTACCTATAATCSATTCAACTCAATTATCTATGTGAAAACTATTGGTTATATACATTATGAAACACAACGTATATCTTATTCTACTGATAAAACTGCACTTAAACCTTCCTTATTTAAGCAAGATCACACTGTCATCAAATACTAACTTTGAAAGGACTTTGAATATATCAAAAGCACTCTTGATGTTGAAACAAACTCATTGTTTGTCTTCCATGTATTTCCAGTAACTCATCCTTTGAATCTAATATTCTGTTTCCAAATCTATTATTATAAAAACTTGGAAAGCAACAATAAATGAGAGTATTGTCATATGTTATTGAGCCATTTTACTTCCATGGTCTGCATTTTTATACCTGAAATGTGACATCTCTGGGGAGCAGGGAAGCCAGAGCATCTTCCCAGGTCTATATTAATCGAGTTTTCAGCTGCAGTTCAAATCTGTTCCCAGGCTTATCTTCATGTACAGATGCAATTAACCTCTACACAGTATACAGACCAAAGAAGTGCTAGCTGACCTGCTGCTGCTGGCTGTTTTTTGGCATGATTAAACATAATATTCACAGTGGAAGATGAATTCTTACAGTAGCAGGAAGTTAGCATCCACTTGCTTGTCTATGGAGTCTTCTTAAGCTTTAGAAAGAAATTGCAATAAGCCTCCATATTAACTCTTACCTATTTTTAACATTTAACTTTTTTTTTTTTTTAAATAAATGCCAGGAAGATTTTCTTTTTGTAACACTAAACTAGAAAAAGCAAAAAGAAGGAGAGATGTAAGTTTTTGGCAAATACTGTCAAAGACTATAAAAATCTCATGTTTTGCTGCAAGAGAAACCAGAAGGACTGGGGAATTTTCTTGATGCAGTTTATTTCCCTTATGTTCCTGTACGTTTTATAACAGGTCATGGGTCAAAAGATTTCCTCATACTTGTTATTGACCCTGGATGCTAAACCTTTGATATCAAATGATATCAAAGATCTGTGATATATAACATATAATTTAAAACATATAATTTAAATGCGCAAAGGATACATGTTTGCTGTCAATGGTTTAATACTGCCCTCTACTGTTAGTCTGGATCATAAATAAAAGTTTGAGAACAGGCTTTTTTTTTTTTTTTTTTTTTTTTTTGTGGCTATAGCTTGAAAAAAACACGGTTGAGACTCAGGGGGAACAAGTGATCTCTCTGATCTAGAATAAAAGCTAGGAAGAGGAAAATTATTTTTAAGAATGGAAGAAATATTGGAAGAAATATAAGAAATTCTATATTAATAGAATTTATAATAATACTCAGATCACGTATTGTAAACTGCCCATGATCAAGCTCTGCTCTGTAGCTTTCAGAGAGGGATTCTGGCATCTTCTGAATAGCTTGCCTAAGAGCTCTCCYGTATGCTTAGGCATAGTGTGACATTTGAGACATAGGAAAGAAACACTAGAAGCTTCCCCAGACATAMAAAAATTAACTTCAAAATATGCTCCAGACTTCATCTCTTGTTTTAAAAGTATTTTCTTCAGGYACATAATGTGTCTCAAAAATATGTATTGGTTTTAGCACATGAAGGAAGACAAAAGATACAGACTAGGTGAAGCACTTGACACTTTGAGGCCAGAAGTGACTATTAATATTTCCTGATTTGGCTTCATGCATAATACAAGTCAAGCACACCTGTGCAATAATTTCTACATCTTCATTGATTTCTGTTTATACTGCCATACATAAACTAGCTCTTCTTAATTTAAAAACTTCATTTGATGAAAAACCTCTACTCCAAAAGCTATTTTCCCTCACTGCATGAGCATGATGTCTTATTTTTATTTAAACCCAGGGTTTCCTGTCAGAATTGACAATGAATAACAGAATCTAATTTCTAGGTTAACTGAGTGTCTATTTTCTCTTTGATGTTAGCCTTCCTTCACTTTAAGATCTTAGAATCCACCTACAGTATGAGAAAAGCCATCATAGAACAGTAACTAGAACAGTAACTGGAATCTTTCTGGTAACTGGAATCACTTTTGTTATCTACGTTTGCTTGTCTACATCATAGAGTTCAATTGTTTTGTCRGGAGGAGTTCTCATTTTTCTTTTCTAATTCCCATAGCACTTAATTTTAAGATTTGGCAAGGCCATTAAAAACTCAAGTTCCCTGTTGAGTTACAAGATCCAGTGAACAATTATTGCCTTGTCAAATTTAAATGTTAACTTGGGATATTTGGTTGTTTCCATCTGTTGGATAGGAATGCTGTTAGAGTTAGGAATGTTGTTAGAGAATAATTTGTCGGATGATATATAGCAACCTTCATATGCTACCCCAGGGGAAAAAAAAAAATTTCACATGGTCCTTTTTCTAGCCTCCATTACATTTTACTTTGCATGCACCTTCAGGTACTTCTGAAACAGAGCCAAATTTGCACATCCTCTTTGTTACTTATTATGACCACTTGCTTTGTATTCTGTTTTCCTCATTCTGTCTTTTTACTATGATTTGGCACACGGACTTCAAAAATATTCCAAATATTCCCAAATTCCAAATTTATATTTTGCTATTCACTATGCATTAGAAACTTGCTAACAATTTTCATCTTACTATGTCAACACTGCTTGAGATGTACAGGAGGATATAAAAATAAGATATTAAAAAAGATACATACAGCCTCTCTCCAAGACAAATTCTACTCTAAATAGTGACAAAACCATAATAAAATCTGCTGAAATATCACTTCTTCACTTTTTTTTCCCTCTGTCAAAAAGAAGAGAGAAATTTAGTCTCTCTCTTCTAAGTCATACTGGGAATTTTGACAGTATCTTCAGTAGGGCTAGAATTTAGCCCATTTCAGTTTTTATTTTCTTCAAAATATATAGATTCTGCCTCTGATTCACTTGATTTATTCCTTATAGAATCCAGTCATCCATTCTAATATTAATTTTGTTCTTTACCTTTCTTTGAAACAAATGCAAAGAAAAAGGACAAAATACCTAAGGAAAAGATTTCATGATATTCATAATGTATCACAGAATATTTAGCACAAGAAAAATATAGAATATTCCATCAATCCAATCTACTGCAGTAATAGCACAGTTCATCTTTCCATTACTTATTTGTAGCCTTCCTTAGCAAGATTTGTTTTTACTGGTACAGCTGGTTAGAGCTCTTCCTATCTTACACCAAATTAATTCTAATACAATGCCTGAAGTCTATTATGTTGACTAATATTCCTAACTGAATTAAATAAAAGCATTAAAGTTCCTAAAATCAATATTAGAAAAATAAAAAGATAACTGTATGATTTAATAACTTAAAAGATTTGCAATATTTGAACCAAAATCTAAAGTTCAGTTTAATTTAGTACATTCATTCTCACAACAAAATTTAAAATGAATGCTTCTCTTACACACTACTTTATTAATATGTGCAGAACACTAAATCATTTCTTGTCTCAGAAAATATGATTTCTGCTTGGGGTTCRTCTTATGGTTTCAGTACAGCTCTGTAAGGATTTTAGCACAGTAATGATTTTTTTATTAACCTGTTTCTGTTTCTAAGTAATTAGAAACACGGACTCGCAAATCTGTAGCACCTTACATCCCTGTAGAAAAGATTAGGGCCACCATAAACACCTCTTGAATGCAGGGTTGGATGGACAGAGGAGGGAGCTGGGTGGAGGCTGCAGACAGGGGATAGGAAGGTCTCTTGATGCCTCTCGGTGGAAGTCTGTAAACTTCCAAGCTASATCATATTACTCAGGGACTTAAGTAGAACAGGCTTGCCTGTCTGCAAAAAATGAGATTCCACAGCTGCTCTGGGCACCTGTGGTTTGCCAGAGTCCTTGAGAAGAGTGTTTTGCTAGTCAAAATTTGCTAGTTATAATTCACCTTGATGCAACTCTTTAGAACTATCTAACCTTCTTCACTGTGAACACCCAAGAAAAGTCTATCTCTGTCTTCTTTATAACTCCTTGCCCCTCTCAGACAATGTAAGACAGCAGTCTGATCTGCCCCTCAGCTTCAGCCTTCTCTCTGGGTGAACAAGACCACTTCTCTCAGCCTTTCTTCATGTGTTCCAGCCCTTAGGCTGGCTCCATGCCCAGGTGACATTTCTCAAGTACTGCTTGGAGGAAAGTACTTCTTCCTTCCTTTGCTGTGCTATTTTGACTGAAGTATGTAAATAATCTTCAGTGATGTGAAGGCACACTGCAAACTCTGGTTCAACATATCATGGCCCAAAGCCACCAGGAATTTGTGTAAAGCTCCTTGCTAGCTGATGAGTCTCATGCCTACACTGTTGCAGAAAACGATTCTGTCTCTGATGTAGGACTTTGCTGCACTGAAATACTACAAAAGGAACAAGTTTGCTTAAACATGTTTTTATTAGGATTAAAGGAGCAAAAGAATACATTCACAAGACCCATTACATATAGATGCAGAGAAAAATACAAGAAAATCATTGGGAAGACTAACATGCCAGTGAAGTCACTGTATAAGGAGAGAAGTGAATGCTAAGATCTCTGTAATGCATCTTTAGAAGGTGAGGCAGAGCACTGTAGTATCAGGAGCACAAAGAAAAAGCAGTTTCCTTGTAGAAATAGGAATTGCTGGTGACAGTTTAGAATGTAATCTGAGAGCTTTCAGGTGACTAGCTCTGGAGGAACCGCCAAAAAGTTTGGTCCTAGAGAAACCTGGCTTAAATTGAAAGCTGCATTTTGGATGTCAACACTTCCAATTATATATTGGGTTGTGATTTTTCAGTGTAATGATCCAGCACCAATACTGAAACATTAGCTTGCACAAGGAACATTAATTTTCACCATGGTTTCATTGAACCCAATATTGAGGTTTTCTTTGCCTTTAGGAAAGGTAAGAGGCTTCATTTCCTGTGTTAACTATTCTCTGATTTAAAAAAAAATAAATATTTTTAAACCAATTCTCTGGTTWTAGGAAATATAGATTAAATGGGTAGCATGCCTTTTTTTATACTTGATACTACGATGCTTTGGGTCTTGCTCTGAAAGACAGAAACTCTTTAAGGGGAAATGCACTTGCCAAAGAGGAGAATGATATTGCTTGGTATGTGTTTGGTAAAGAACAAAAATGGGCGGTCAACTCTGATCTCTTCCAAACCACTTGCAATATCCACCTGGGTACCAGTAGAACTGGCCATCTCACTGCCAGCTTCATAGACCTCCATAAATGCCCCATGGATGGCCTCAGACATCTTCAGACCTTGTGCTGTGGAGATGCCGGACAGATTGGCTGATGAGCTGAGCACGTCAGTCATGCCCAAAGACATAAAGACAGATGTGAGATTATATTTTTCCTGAACTTTCATGCGGGGCAGGTACACTTTCACTGTCTTCTTTTCCATTACGTTGGGACTGGTCCACTCGTTCAGTTTTTCAGGGCTGATTGTATTCTCCAGCTGCAAAGAGATAAGAGAATGAGATTCCGGGGACAAGAACATAAATTCCCTCATGATATTGTCTTCTTTTTTTCTCTCTTTCTTGACTGTTTTTGATGTAGTATTTATTCTAGAGGAGCATACATTAATGTATCTAGCAGAGAAGAGCAAATTATGATTCTTTCTTCATATCTCTGTCCTGTTCTGTTTCTTCAATAGACCCGTGACTAGTCATTCTTCTTTTATGAGATGTCTACTAAGAAAATTTCACATAAAGCTCTTTTCTGTTTGTCTTCTCTTCTTGAGAAATATGTTCTGTTGTTTTAAATTATATGAGCTTTCTCTACATTTCAGACCTCTGTGTAACCAGTTGTTAATGGTAACCAGTCACTAATGACTGAATTGCCTGTTCCTGCTATATTTGGAACGAATATAAATATAAATATAAATATAAATATAAATATAAATATAAATATAAATATAAATATAAATATAAATATAATTATAAATATAAAAATTAATAAATATATAAATTATAAAACATATCTTAATCAAAAATTTCCTATTCTAATTAAACCGAACCTGCACAAGATCACTTGGTTCAAGTTATCTTTGTCATATGATCAGTGGTATTGGTGACCAGTTGAGGGGCAAAAATCACTGCCCAGAATATTTATTATTAATAATTAATTAATTTAATTAATTAATATTTAATTAATTTAATTAATTAATATTATTATCCAGAAATATTTATTATTTTCATTATTAATAATGTTGCTTTGTATAGTAATATTTATTTCCTTGCTCATTTACTAGGTATTGTCCCTTTACATATCTTGGCATGGGACAGTGCAGTGGCACCATCTCAGTTAACTCTTACTACCTTTATCCTAGTGACAATTTTTTTGTTCATCTGTGTTTTATTTCATCCATCCACATTCTTCCTTTTTAGTCTTTCTAATCATAATGTACAGTGTTTTTTCTCCTACTTAAACTCGTACTTAATCTTCGAAAGCATGTTTTCAGCATAACTTTCTGAAATTTATCTCTGTTCAAATGCCTTCTTAACTTTTTAAGTTTCTTTGCATTAGCATAAAAACACAATCATAGAATTGCGGAATGGTTGAGATTGGAAGGGGTCTTTGGAGATCATCCAAACCCACCTGCACAAGCAGGGTTACCTAGAGCACATTGCACAGGATCTCATCCAGTCAGATTTTGAGTATCTCCAGAGCACACTCCACAATCTCTCTAAGCAACCTGTGCTACTGCACTGTTACCAGCAAAGTCAACGAATTTTTCCCCAAATTCAGGCAGAGTTTCCTGTGTTTCATTTTATGGCTATTGCCTCTTGTTCTATTGCTGTCCATTATTTCAATGAACTCAGATTTATCACATGGCTTTTCCTTTCCAGGTTGTCTACAATCTTTCTAGTGGCAGTATCCCATGCTGGTATTCTGCCATATCAATAATAGTATTTTGAGTACTTCTTATTTTCTGAAATAGCTTTAATCATTTTGCTATTTTTATGATACTCTGAAGCTCCCCGTTGGTTCTTACCCGCTCCATGTCAGAGACGCTGTCAGGCAACAGCACGAACAGGCTCAGCAGTCCACCCGCGTATGGAAGCTCTACGATCCTCATTTTCTCAGCAGCCACTGTTGCCACTCTAAATGAACCAACCTGATACATCATCTGCACAGGTTTGGTTTCTTGCTGGAAAACCAAAAAGAAAACAGTCTTTGCAAAGTTTGTTCATAAAGTGTAGAAATGCGTATCTGTGGCTAAAACTGCTGTTTGCTCTTATCCAGGTAGACTTTTTCTAAGAAAAGTTGATGTCTCAACTTTTTCCTCCGGATTATAGTTACTSTTAGAAACAGTGTGAGGAGATGGTTATTAGGAAAACTCCCTGGGATTATTATAGTTCCCAGAAGAGAAGTAGCTAAATTACCAGATATTTTAGTGTAGCATTTGTATAAAAGACTATCTATCCTCTTGATAACTACTACAAAAGATATCTTGAGAGTAAAGTATGCTCACATACTTCAGTTACTCTGAAAGGCAATTCTTGAGTGTCTTCATCCTTAAAGGCATTCTCCCACATTCCTTTGAAGGATACAGCATTAGCAAGGACCATTTCAGACTGAGAGTTAATAGTGCCAGGTAGAAAGATGTTTCTGATGGCTCCTTCAAGAAAGAACAAGGAAAGAGAATTGTATAACGTATCTTACTTGGCAATCATAATGCTAAATGAATAGTATAGGATTTGTGGGGAGGCAGAGTACAGGGGTAGAGAGTTTCTTTTGTACTTCCAAAGTTGAATTGCTCATTGCTGTTGGCAAGAACTGTGGTTTCCCTCTTTGAAATGGATTGTAATTAAAATTTTAACACCCAGGGATTTACTTGTTACAGAATGACTATATCTGTCTATTTTGTGACTAAGGACAGGACCACTGGAACTTCTATTATCCCAGATTGACCACCAGCTCAAACTACACCAGCCAACATAAGTACTTGTTGCTTCAAAGCAAGCTGGAAAGGTGAAATATATACAAAGACAGGAGAGGAAAACAGAATTTCCTCTTTTTATCTACTCTGTCTTTTTCTTGTACTGTTCTCCCATTTCTTCTGTAGTCCTCAAACATGTAGCAATTTCCTCACTTATTCTTTTCCCACCAGTAGCTTAATCATGGCCTGTTTTTCTCCCTCAAAGCATGACATCAGAGCAGAGGTTGTGCAGTTGTGAATATTTTCATCTCAGCTCAGCTAGAAATCATCTTTTTCCTTTATTTATGCTTGCTAACACATGTTGGGCCATGTGTTTCAGGCACAAGAATGGGGATCAGGAAGAGATTGAAAGAATGGAAGAATCACGTGCAGGTGCAGTAGGAGAAAAACACCTATTAGAGATCCTCTTTCCATGCATTTCATATACCTCCCCACCATTCCTTAACTCTATGGTTTTCAATTGGCATTTTACCCATTAATATTCTTCAGGTATCTTACAATTGCAGGTCTTACTTACTAAGTACAGAGTAATTCTGTCATCTCAAAGAAACTTGAAGGAAAAACTGCTTTTGCACTGTCTGAGGGATATCCAGAATCCTCAGCATTAGGGACAAACCAGTAGATACTGTATAAAACTAATTTTCTATTGTCATTCCTTGCATACCTGCAAATCCCCTACAGATAATCCCCTGGAAAGCACCTACTCCTCWAAAATAAATGTGTCTATCTGGGGGAAAATTTAATGTATAGTAGCTTTATACTTGGAAACTGATATATCATCCAGGAGTAGGAACAGATCAAAGATTTTGTGTTTTTCTCTGACAACTTAAGGATTATTGTATGCTGTTTGAATATAGTGGAAGAATGAAAAATACTTGCTCATATTTGTCTTGYCCTTACCGTTTGTCTGACTTTCAATCCAGGAATTGATGAGCTCTCTAGCTTGGTCAGAAGCTGTTTGAAAGCTGACACTTTCCACACCTCCTTTAATCAGTTCTTTAACACATTGTAGGTATTCCTGTAATGTAAAAGCATGCATTTGTCATATCAGAATTTCAAAGCATTTCGTGAATGTGAAATGCAAGACTGAAATTAAAGGRTATGGACTATAGAATATTTCAATATAGTATGTTACAATGTATTTTACTGTATACTATACTTCATAATGCATTTTGTAGTTTAACATATTTATAGCACCTCTATGCACTTCTTTTGCTGCATTAAAGCTAAACAATAAACTATGAATCTAGTTCATAAACATTTTAAGAATCGACATTTTTTTTCTTTGAGAAAGACTACATGCTCAATACTAAAAATATAATCCAGACTTGAATTTGATCTAAAAATGTTGATTATTTTAGTCAAAGTATTTTTTCTTCTTTATGTATGTTTTTCATTTTGAAACTGTATTTTCCTTTAGCTTTAATTTCCAAATGAAACATTCATTTCAATTGGAAAACTTGGATATTTTGTTTTGAAAGTGCCAACTGCAATGTTGTTGAGAGCAAAAACATATTTTTTTATTCATTTATTTTTAATAAGTTAGGAAATAGTTGGTGTTAACTCTTCCCAGCAAAAGTTACCTTTACATATTACATGATGATACGGCTGTATTGTAAATGTGCTTTGCACAAACAGCTTTTTACTTAGGCACATTTTCTTCGAAAACTAAAGATTAGAGCTGCGATAGAGTGAAGGCATTAATTCTTTCTTTTCTTTGGAAGGATATTTCCTTAAGAGAGCCTAGACTTAGGACAGTGGTCTTGTGTTGTACAATGACAGAGCTTAGACATAGATATTCACTCAGATCAGATCTTGAAGCAACTCACCGGCAGGACTGGATATGTCTCTTCAACATAAACTCTACTGGCAAGGCTGAGTGAATAATTGTCGCTTGGTTTGGTGATTTCAGAGAGAATGTTCTTAAGTGAAGTTTGGATGCTCGCAGATGTGCCACACTGTGATTAATATAAATAAAAACATAGATGATGTTACTTTAGTTTTAGTACTTATTGACTTTTCATACTTTGTGAGAAAAGTAACTAGTTCAGACCCTTTTGCCTACAAAACCTCTATTTGTCCTAGATGTTGCTATAACTATATTGATAYAGTTATTTCCCAATATATACAATTCTGTACTGCTGGGGACTCTTGACTATCAGCAGTAGTAACCTTCCTCCAGCAGATCGAATGGGCTTTTCTCCTTTTCTAAACAATCTCTTTTAATCAGCATTATCCATCTGTCTTGAATAATCATACAAATATCTATAATTTTCCCTATTTGCCCAATATTTGATACTGGGGTTCCTCCTGTGATTTTTCCAAATCGTCTTTTATCTCCCTTTTTCCTTTATTCTTATGAATAAAAACATTAGCAAAGCATTAGCTTCTTATCAGGGAACCCAACCTCCAGGGTTTGGAACTGCTAGGAGACTGCTTTTTCTGCTAGATATTTCTCCCAGGAAAGAGTAACATAGACAAGGAGATTAAGTTATTTCTGTACCTGAGATTCCATTGACTCTCCAAATCCAGTGATTTTATCAAGATGAATAGCCTGTAATGGAAAATACCAGTTGTAGAAATAACAGATAAAAGAAAAAAATACATGCAGCTGAGACTGGCAAATGTTATTGTTTGACTGAAAACAAATATAACTGAAAAGCTGGAATTCATATGTACCGTGTGGGAATATCTATGGATACTTTTTTTCAGCTTAGGTGATCTCTTTTCCAGTGAACATCTACAAATCACCTGCAGGTATGCTGCCAGTATTATTAACTTTCTTCCAGCTAGCAAGCTAGCTATTCTGTGTGAAGGATAGAAAACTTATGTGATATATCAACAGACTTGAAACATGTTTTGTCTCTTTCCTTGAATACTTTATCTAGTTTTCTTACTCAAAACAAAGTCTTGTTCTCTATGTGAATCCTGCAGCTAACATTGTTACATTTCAAATTAAAACTATTTTCAAGATTTCTGACTGGTGCATTTGTTTAACACTCTGAGCTGGGAATTTGAGCTTGTCCCAACTTTAGGTAACTATGGATACAGATTTTTCAACTTCTGATTATCTAAGTTCCAAGGGACATCAATGAATAATTAAGTGCTATGGCTCTACTGAGCAGGAGCAAAGTTTTAGTTCTTAACTGTAGCCTTACCTTCTCCATCTGAGTTTTAGTGTTGCCCTTTGCACCCATGTAGACGACGTAAAGGGCTGAAAAGATGGTCAGGGGGCCAAATATAATGTTCTCACTGGCATGGTGGACTCTCAGCTCTTTGTACATATCAAAGCAAAATTCTGTGCTTGCTGTGCCAATGGAGCCCATGGTGAAACTGGTGTTCCTAGAGCAAACAACAGAAGTACAATGACAATATAATGATGGAGTGCTGTCCAAACATAAGTCAAGGCAGGATATTCTGTAGTGTAGTATTCCTCAAGGAATAAACAGGCAGATTTAAAGTCATTCTGCAGCAACGCACCTATTGCTATACCCACCTTGCATTCATGCTATGTATCCATAAATCTTTTTGCTCTCTGATTTTGTATTGTTCCTTTTTTGGCAGTAAAATTCTTCAGAGATCTCAAATCTACATGTGATTTCTGACACAATTGCCTGTACTTATTTTCATTCAGTGGAAATAGGAATTCCTTAATACTCTGACCTTCGGCCAAATTAAGAAAATATGAACTGTCTTTGACATCCTTAAAATTTTTGAACAACAGAGTAAATAGCAGTAGACTTGCTCTGTTTTCACACAGACATAAGTGAAAGCCRAGGCTTGCTGACTACTCTTATTGACTGAAAATAAATGTAGTAAAATATCTACTTGTTACGCAGCACTAACTGTCAGAACATTTCAAAGGCTTGAGATTGTGCTCTCAGTTACAGCTTGCTTTGTTTAAATTTTTGTATACATTCTGGACTTCCTGAGAAACTCCATTTTGGTAGTAATGTTCAGACAGAATAGAAATAGAGGGTAGATAAAATAGCCATGTGTAACATAATACAGTACTGTTAAATTAATGTGTTCTTTCTGCATAGACCATTAAAAGCCTTTACGTTTGTTTCTCCCTGAAGCTGCTACAGAGATTATTGTAGAATATACATCTATGTACTCACACAAACTTTTATTTTATATAGTGCCCAGCAGCAGTATTTTGGGGGGATGCAACAGATATATTACTCTCAAATAAACCTAGCACAGCCATTGAATCCTGCTGTCATGCTCTTTGTGCCCTCTTTTGAACAAGAGATCAGTCAAGTAGTTCTTTACTCTTTTGCTACCAAAATCAGAGTTAAAATAGTAAATGAAAGGCTAAGCTATTCAAAAATAGAAAAATATTTTAAATACAAAGAATAAACTTTAAAAAGGTCTCCCAGAAAAAAATACCCAGGCTTTACACATAGTAAAGTAACATAGCAGGTAAGAAGTYTTTGTAGAGAATATCACTTAAATATTAAAGATACCAATGAGAACACAATAAGTACTTATTAATTTAAGTTTAGGTATAAGCAAGAAATAGTACAGCTCTTTTCCTAGAGATGCTTACCTTCGAGCTTAGGCACCAGATGCAGTACAGCTTTCCAGCTGTGTATAGACAGACTGCCTGAGCTCTGAGGAATTTATACAGTCTGAACTATGTCCCACCCACAGCTGCCCTTCAGGAGTTTGACTTTTGACACCATAAAAAAATGTGTAATGGGATTAAGCCAAACTTCAGTTTCTATAGTTCCATTTTTGATTGAAGTGAGAGCAAATACAATGATTTATGCCTATATGAACAGAATGTTTTCCACCAGCACACSAGGGCTGCACTGGAGTTAGGCGGAAAATTACTGCTCATGTTCTTTTGCATAGATACTAGATACTGGGATATTAATAAAAACAAAAAGATGTGAAAACATTGGAAATTAAGAACACCATTAGCAATTAGCAGCTTATTTATGGTTATGAAATAGACTGGCATTTGTCTTTCAAAGTTACCTTCCTGAACAAGCAAAATGAAGTTGAACTATGTTAGGAAGAAGATCAGAAAGTGAAAACAGGATTCGGGCTTTTATTCTACTAAAAGAAAATGGGGAAATATATGAGAAAATCAATAAAGATAAGACTCAAAAAAAAAGGGAAATTTTATCTCTGGAGAGCTAAAATCTTTAGAAAAGAGCTTTTGATGGGTGTGAAGAATTTTAGAGTAAATTACTTCACTCTCAAGGAGTAAAAGCAGCACCAAACTCAAACAAAGAAAAATAAAAAAGCAAAAAGACCTCAGTTCTAAATATGTTTTTTTCATTTGTATATATGTATGTAGTATTCCATTGCATAGCTTAACAGTCCAGCAGATGATGGAGGAACTGGGAAATACAGCTGAAGGGATGTTCATGGTCTGTGGGACAATCATAATATACAATAAGAAATATATTTCAATTATAAAAGCTATTGTTCTCTTTTGAAATAATAGARCATGCAAACAATAAAGAAACCAAACTGACCTCTGTAAAGCACTCTGTGTTTTAAAAACAGAAAAAAAATCAAAGTCAATACAACGCAATTCTTCAGAACATATGTGGAAATAACTGATGTCTGTGTGAATGAAGGATGAATGAAGGAGAATAGGCAAGCTACTTGACCACTGGTGGAAGTTTAGATAGTGTGGTTTCCTTTGCCTTAGTTTGCTTCCTTTTTTTGTCAATAAAGGTGCTATAGAAATCTGTGCTCTCCTTGCAGAGTTTTTGTAGTTCAGGAAACCTTAAGTTTAAGAAAAGACTGTAGTGTAGGTGGAAGTGATATTTTTTCTTAGATCTTTATTCCGTAGGAAGAACAGAATTACAGCATCACAGAATGGATGAAATTGGAAAGGACCTGTGGAGCTCCAACTAGACGCTGCACCACAATCCTCTGAGCTCTTCCATCCAGGTGTTTTTTATTCCACCTCACTATGTAGTTCACTAGCCTGTACTTTATCAGCTTGCCTAAGAGAGGGTATGGGCAATTGTGTTGGAAGCCTTAGTGAAGTCAAGACAGAAAATGTTAACTGCTCTTCCCTCATCTAACCAGTCAGTTATTGCATCAGAGAATATGATGGACAGAGAACTGTGAGGCMAATTGCAAAAGCAACAAAATTACTTCAAGAACAAATGAAGACCTTAATCACACATCCCATCAGTGTAGAATCATCAGTATACAACTGATGTATACTGATGTATACAGCKGTAGTCTGCTTGGCACGGAGTCTGAGGATATTAAACAAATTCTTACGCAGTTCAAAAGCTGCCCGGTACAATCAGTAATGGATTGCCTTGTCCAGCAAAGCTGTACAAAGCAGTACAAACAATTCTGTCACACATTCTTGTTTGACAATGCTTTTCCAAAGGAAGAGGTCAGCTAAGACTCTGTTGCCCTTTGCTGTGCCAGGCACTGCATTGTGGAGCTGTTCCTAAACCAACAAACTCTTGCGTACCTGCATCTCAGGTGTACCTTGGACACCTGAGAAAAAAAAAAAGGCACCTGAGCCTTTCCAAAAGGATATGAAGTTCAGGTCAGCTCACTGGCCAACACCTTCCATCCAATCGCGAATGCCTACACAGAACTCAGAACTTGGTTGTCATCCATGAACCTGCTGTTTTGCCAGTACAAAGGAAGATGTTAATTGTTAATTGTTCTGTGTGTGTATTTGTGTCTCAGCAAGTTTCTTTTCTGTGAAGGATAGAAGGAGCCATTCAAAGAGAGCATGGGGGATAATCTTGTGCAGTGTGACTGTCAGTGACTGTCAGTGGTTGTTTTGGAGGTTTTCTTCACAGACCCAAGACCTACAGAYGGAGTCACCRTACCTGGCAGTGTTCAAGAAATGTRTAATGAGACACTTAGGGACATATTTTTGCAGGCATAGTGTGGGAGAGTTTAGAWTTGGACTTGGTGATCTTGAAGGTCTTTTCCAACCATAATGACTCTATGATTCTGTGAAATTTGGAAATTGAAAGCTCAACTGGAGAGAAAGGTGGCAAGCAATGTGAAAGGCAATAGGAACTTCTTAAGGTAAAATAGCAAAATTAAATCTAAGGAAAAATCATTATTATTGGAAGGTTTCCTGATGACTTGAAGAAGGGTTTCTTACTCAGAGGAGATGGAGGAGGAGAGCAGAAAGAGAGAAGAATCCAACGAACTACAGGTCATCTCAATCACCGGGAAGTTAATCTTCCTGGMAGCATTACTAAGACTCATTAAGGAATAAAAGATGACTGAGAATAACCAGTATCGATTTACCAAGGGCAAATCACTCCTGACAAACATCATTGTCTTCTACAATCATGCAATCAGTTCAATAGAGAACAAGTAGAGAAAGATACAGAGTCTTCTTGTGGCTATATTGGGGAGGTACAGACTATATAAGCAGATAGTATATTGGATAGAAAATTAACTGCACTGCAAGTCTTAAMGATTATCATCAACGGTAAAAAGTCCACTGGAATCCAGTTACTAATGCCTGGGATTGATAGCAGGCCTTGCAGTGTTCACTATCTTTGTTAATGACCTAGACAATGGTAGACTCTCAACAAACTCACATACGGTGCAAAGCTGGAACAGAAGTCAATATGCTGCAGATTAAGACTGCTGATCAGTGGGATTTCCACTAACTGGAGGAACAGGCCAAGAGAAGAACTCAGGAAATTTGCCAAAAGAAGRCACTAAAGAGGGCACCTGTAATAAAATATTTATTTGCAATGTTTCAGAAACGGAATCTACTAAGAAAAGCTTTGCAGAAAAAGTCTTGGTGAATGACAGATTGAATACAAGTCAGTAGAATATCTTTGCAGCAATGAGGGTTAACCACATACTGGGTTTCATCAGTGAAAGTATTGATAGCTGAGTGAGGTAAGTTATGCCCTTCTAAGCAGCACTTCTGAGATATCATCTGGAAAGCTGTGTCCAGTCTGGGACTCCCAGCACCAGGAAGATACTGATGACCTAGTGCAGTGGAGGGCCAGCCACAGCGCAGCACAAAGTCTGGAGAACATGGCATGTGAGGAGAGGCTTAGAGAAGTGGGTTTGCTCATGCGGGAGGAGAGGGATAAAGGGGATCTGATTGCTGTCTTCAGATATCTAACTGCAGAAGACACGGTATGACCAGATTTGTCTTGGACATGCAGAGCAAAAGGACAAGTTGCAACAGCTGAAGGTGGCAGCACTGGGAAATCTTACCAGATAYACAGAAAATATTTTTTTTTCCACAGAGAAGGTGGGAAAACACTGGTTCAGGTACCCACACAGGCTCTAAAATCTCCATCCTTGGGGTTATTCAGAGTGCTGCTGGACAAGACTCTGTACAGCCTTGCTT